TAAACTTCTGAAGAAAGAGATTGAGGAAAACTATAGAAAGTGGAGAGAGCTCCCATGCTCATGGATTGGTAGAATTAACATAGTAAAAATGTCTATACTCCCAAAAGTAATCTACATGTTTAATGAAATTCCCATCAAAATTCCAATGACATTCATTAAAGAGATTGAAAAATCTACGTGAAATTTATATGGAAACACAAGAGGCCACGAATAGCCAAGGCAATACTCAGTCAAAAGAATAATGCTGGAGATATCACGATACCTGATTTCAAACTCTATTACAAAGCAATAACAATAAAAACAGCATGGTACTGGCACAAAAACAGACATGAAGACCAGTGGAACAGAATAGAGGACCCAGATATGAAGCCACACAACTATAACCAACTTGTCTTTGACAAAGGAGCTAAAAATATACGATGGAGAAATAGCAGCCTCTTCAACAAAAAACTGCTGGGAAAACTGGTTAGCAGTCTGCAAAAAACTGAAACTAGATCCATGTATATCACCCTACCCAATATTAACTCAAAATGGATCAAGGATCTTAATATCAGACCAAACTCTAAAGTTGATACAGGAAAGAGTAGGAAATACTCTGGAATTAATAGGTATAGGCAAGAACTTTCTCAGTGGAACCCCAGCAGCACAGCAACTAAAAGATAGCATAGATAAATGGGACTTCATAAAACTAAAAAGCTTCTGCTTCAATCAAAAGAAATGCGTCTCTAAACTGAAGAAGACCACCCTCAGAGTGAGGGAGAAAATTATTTGCCAGCTACACATCAAACAAAGGACTGATAACTAAAAATATATAGGGAACTTTAAAAAACTAAATTCTCCCAAATAATGAACCAATAAAGAAATGGGCAGAAGTGAACCAAACAAAAACTTTCTCAAAAGAAGAAATTCAAATGGCCAAAAACACATGAAAAAAATGCTCACCATCTCTAGCCAATAAAAGGAAATGCAAATTAAAACCACACTAAGATCCACTCCCTCCTGTTAGAATAGCCATCATAGCAACACAACTAACAATAGGTGTTTAAAGGATGGGGAGGGTGGGGAAGGGAACCTCTTACATCTGCTAGGGGGAATGATAAACAGTAAAACAACCACTCTGGAAAAAAATTGGGAGGCTACTTAAAAAGCTAAACATTGATCTTACATATAATCAGCCAATACCAATCTTGGGGATACAGCCCAAAAGTGTGACTGCGTTTACTCAAGGCAAGTGCACACCATGTTTATGCAGCACTATTAACAAATAAGCCCAGATATGGAAAAGCCAAGATTGCCCCCCTACTGATGGATGGATAAGAAAATGTGTATTTTACACAATGGAATTTTATGCAGCCATGAAGAAGAACGAAATGTTATCATTCGCTGGTAAATGGATGGAATTGGAGAACATCATTCTGAGTGAGGTTAGCCTGGCCCAAAAAGACCAAAAATCGTATGTTCTCCCTCATATGTGGACATTAGATCAAGGGCAAACACAACAAGGGGATTGGACTTTGAGCACATGATAAAGCGAGAGACACAAGGGAGGTGAGGATAGGTAAGACACCTAAAAAACTAGCTAGCATTTGTTGCCCTTAACGCAGAGAAACTAAAGCAGATACCTTAAAGCAACTGAGGCCAATAGGAAAGGGGACCAGGAACTAGAGAAAAGGTTAGATCAAAAGAATTAACCTAGATAACACATGCACAGGAAATCAATGTGAGTCAACTCCCTGTATAGCTATCCTTATCTCAACCAGCAAAAACCCTTGTTCCTTCCTATTATTGCTTATACTCTCTCTTCAACAAAATTAGAGATAAGGGCAAAATAGTTTCTGCTGGGTATTGAGGGGGGGGGGAGAGGGAGGGGGTGGGTGGTAAGGGAGGGGGTGGGGGCAAGGGGGGAGAAATGACCCAAATTGTATGCACATATGAATAAAATAAAAAAAAAAAAAATACTCCTCCCATTACCATCCCCCAAGCAAATAACACTGGCATGTTTTCAACACAGTCAACACTACCCAGGTCTCTGGAGGAGGGACAGAAGGAGTTCCAGAACCTAAGAAACTAAAATTAATCTGTGAATGTGTGTTCCAAGAATGAAGATTGATTTGATTAGAAGCCCTACCCTTAAGGTGCTACAAAACAGCCTTTTCTTTTATCACTCTGAACATTTACCCTCCCTCTATGAGGAGATACTCCTACTGTGTCTTTCCCTTTGCTAGGATCTGAGTGTTTGTGTCTGCCCCAAAATTCATATACAGAAACTTCGTCACCAATGGGATGACTAGCAGAAGGTGGGGACTTCGGGCAGTGATTAAAGAGCTCTATTCCAGAGAACTGCCTTTGCTTCTTCCACCAACACAACAAGATGGCACCATCCTCGGACCAGACACTGAATCTGCAGGCACTTTTTTAAGGCTTCCCAGCCTCCAGAACTCTAAGAAATAAATTTCTGTTGTTTATAAACCACTAGTTTATGGCATTTTATTATAGCAGCCCAAACAAAGTAAGACACACTTAGGCCAGAAATTTCGGAAAAAAAAAAAAAACACTTTCGGAAAAGATAGAATGGTTTTACATCTGTCCAATAAGGTAGCTTAGTCATATGTGTGGCCCTAATGTATCCATGTTACGACGCAGGGCTTAGCGAGAGGTAAAATTTATCTTTAACTTTATTTAATCTCAGGCTTATAGAGCTGCTAACTGACTACCAGCGACAGACAATCAAGGAAGTTTTATCATTGCAAAACTGTCATTCTGCTGTCTCCCTCTGCCTTAAATTGTGCCCGACTCTCCCCCTCTATTTCATTCTTGCAATCAATGAAAGAACAAACTCAATTTTCTTGCTACTCATTGAGTGATCCTCTGCTCATAAGATGAGAGAATGTTATTTAATTATTCTATGTCTCTCAGTTACTTAGTGAGCTCGTTGTCTAAGGAATTTAGAAAGAACAAAAAGTAAAAAGAAAGTGTCCTTTACTTTTGTGGAAGTTGGTGTTACGACTAAGTTGGACGGAGACAGCAAAACCATGCAGGAGTATAGATAGATGCGCTACAGAGAAGCCCTTTTCAAACAAAACGAAGGACAAGAAGGAGTGAAGACAGGTCTTGTTTTATGGGGGGTGCACCGAGTAGGAGGGGGGGAGGGCATAAGAGGTAAAGGAGGGCTAGTTTAGGTGGTGCGATGTAAGTTTGAGAATGTTCAATAGGTGTGAAAAAATATGAAGCGAAGAACGCCGTTGGAAGAGTGGTTCCGTTGAGGGGGAGGTGGCTAATGAATAGGGAGAAAAGGTTGGAGGGGGTGACTCTAAGATGATATAGTAAGGTACATAGGTAATATGAGTAACGAGTGGGGTAGTCCCCCAATAAATGTAATATAGTGCTAAAATAATTTTAAATAGTCAAAAATATAATACTTCAGCCACAAGCCATGTAAGCTGCACACTTGGTAAGTCTAGCTACTCAGGGAGACAGAGGGTGGGGAGGATTGTGGTTTTAAGGCCAACGCTGCGAGCACACAAAAGTTTGCAAGCCGTCATGTAAAAAACTCAAGTGGCCAGGTGCGTGTGCTGCATGCCGTGTCATCCCAGCTATGCAGGAAAGCACAAGTAAGAGGATCTCAGTCCAGGCCATCTGGCAATAAGCGAGACCCTAAGTTTCAAAAATAACCAATGCAGGACTGGCAGAATGGCTCCAGTGGTAGAGGAACCCTGCCTAGCAAGTATAGGCCCTGAGTTCAAACCTCCCAGTTACTCGCCAAAACATAAATAACCAATACAAAGAAGGACTGGAAAGTGTGGCTCAAGCTGGGTAGAACCCTTCCTAGGAAGAGCAAGGCTATGAGTTCAAACTCCAGTACCACAAAAAAAAAAAAACAAAGCATTATCAGCCATATAGCTGAAATATCATTCCAAATACTTCCTTAAGCCCAACATTTTCTTTCATCCCAGCAAAACACAAAAAACAAAATTCTCAAATACGAATAATGCCAAGAAACCATCCAAAGGTGTCAGTTTAAAAAAAAAGGGAAAAGCGTAAGTTTAAAAAGTGTAAAATAGTTTGAAATCTATGAAAAGTATTGTCAATTTTTTTCAATTTTCCTTAAATACTTATTGAAAACTTATTACATCTAAAGCATTGTACTAGGTATGAGGGGCAATATAAAGATGAATAAAATTCTATGCTTAACCCCAAGATGTTTACATGCTAGAATAAAATGGATGAAACCGTCCCTATTACTGAAAGCTGGGAACACTTCAGACAACTGGATTAAATGTCTTATAAATACAAAAGTCTGTAAGTACCATAAAGTCTCAAAAAATAGTCCATATTAAGAATTTTAAATATATTGTCTTTATTTGACAATCTTTTTTGGCTTTTGTAATATATACTTTTTTATTTTTCATTGACTCAATTGTATATATTAATGAGGTACTATGTGATATTTCACTACATGTTTAAAATGTATAATGATCATATCAGGATGGATGGCATGTCTACCTTCTCAAACATTTGTCATTTGTTTGTGCGGGAACATTCAAAATTCTCTCTACTAGCTATTTTAAAACATACAATTAATCACTGTCAACCACAGCTATCCTGATTGCTAGAAAACATTATCCACCTTACCCCTGTACTCATTAACCAGCCTTGCTCCATCCCCTCTCCCCCTGACAATTACATACTATAAAATTAAAAACTAAAGGTACATACATAAAAAGAATTCACCATGCATATAATTTACAAATATGTTTATGGCTGATGTTGATTGCTATTTTATTTGCATATTTAATCAGTGTTTATGACTCATACATTGACCTGTGTGTTACCTATCACATTCATTAATCCCGTTTCTGTCTGAATTATTCTAAGTAAATCTCAAGCCTTAACACCAACCATAAGTAAAACCTTCACAAATTTACTTTTAATGATGTTCCACATTCAAGGTATAATCTTTCTATAGTGTCTGTGTTTAAAAAAAAAAAAAACTGAATCAGAAAAGCAAGAAAGAGGCTGTCTCCATCTTGATGGCGCCCGCTGTCCTTGTGAAGTTGTGGAGATGGGGAGCGTCCTGGGGCTGTGCTCCATGGCAAGCTGGATTCCATGCTTGTGTGGTAGTGCCCCATGTTTGCTGTGTCGATGCTGTCCTAGTGGAAACAACTCCACTGTGACTAGATTAATCTATGCACTTTTCTTGCTTGTTGGAGTGTGTGTATGCTTGTGGTAATGGTTGATACGGGCCAATGGAAGAACAACTGAAATAAGATTCCTGGGTTTTGTGAGAATGAGAAAGGTGTTGTTCCCTTGCCATATTCTGGTTTGGCTACAAAGCTGTATATTCGTTTTGTGCCTTTGGGCTTGCTTATGTTTATCTTACTTTTCTGTTTTTGCTAATGATCAAAGTGAAGAAGCACAGTGACCCGACGAGTGCAGTACACAATGGATTCTGGTTCTTTAAATTTGCTGCAGCAATTGCAATTATTATTGGGGCATTCTTCATTCCAGAAGGAACTTTTACAACTGTGTGGTTTTATGTAAGGCATGGCAGGTGCCTTTTGTTTCATCTCATTCAACTAGTCTTACTTATTGATTTTGCCTCATTCTTGGAATGAATCATGGGTTGAAAAAAATGGAAAGAAAGGGAAAATACCAAAGATGTTGGTATGCAGCCTTATTGTTCCAGCCACAAGCTTCTGAATTATCTGCTGTCTTTAGTTTGCCCAATCATCTTGTTTCTTTTGTCTACCTATACTCATCCAGCCAGTTGTTCAGAAAATAAGGCGTTCATCAAGTGTTAACATGCTCCTCTGATTGGTGCTTCTGTAATTGTCTATACTGCAAAAATCCAAGAGTCACAAACCAAGATGTGGTTTGTTAGCAGTCTTCAGTAAATTACAAGCTACCCGATGTATTTGACATGGTCTGGCTATGACAAAAAATGAACCAGAAACATAATTGCAACCCAAGTCTACTAAGCATTAATTGGCTTTCAATAAACCGACAAGCCACAATCCCAAAAGACCAGGTCAGTCTGTCCAGTGGTGGCAATGCTCAAGGAATTATAGGACTTAATCCTCTTTTTATTGTGTGTGTTTTATTCAGGTTGAGCCCTCTCGTGAAATGAAAAGTCAGTGGACAGTGGTCTTGGGTGAAAATCTCTCCAAGTTGGAATGGCATTGTGCTATAGTATGTGTTTGGACACTAGTGGCAACCACTTGTTCTTACAATATCGTGATTTTGTGACTAAATGGCTTCTGGCGATGAAAGTCCCACTTTTGGTTATTGTCCTATTTGAAATTACAGTATTCCCAACTTTTGTAATGTTGTGTTGTGCTCCCGTGTAACTTCTGCCATGTGGTTCTGGGCATGAATTAGATTTTACTGCTTGTCATTTTATTTCATTTCTTGCTAAGGTGCAAACTGATCAGTGAATTCGAATGAGTGGCAAAAGGGGACAGTTTTGGTATGCAGGATGGGTGAACAAGTTTAGGAAAAGTGGAGATTTGCTAGGCCGTAACTTTTAGATGTGAAGTAAAAGTAAAAGCAAAGTTTGGCTTTAGTTTTGATTTGAACAACTTAAGTCCATAAGCTGTTTTTAGAAAGCATAAAAAAACAAATGTATGGTTGCCTTTTGAAATATTTGGTGTGTTGCCTTATGGGAGACTGCAAAGAACATGGCTATTCTAAAATTGCATAAATACTTTACTTGAATGCCGGTTGTTTCAAAAATGCAAGTAACTAAAATTTTGTCAGAATTTTCCTTTAATATGGAAGGTAAGGAGCTTACGCAGGACACAGAGCCTTCACAGAAAGTCAGATTGTTGGTGGTAGGGATTAAATTGAATACTCAGTGAGACTGTAATCTTGATAGAAATGATGGCCTTCACCAACAAGATGAACCTTGGTTTGGTCTTCACAAAGCCATGTAAGTTGTGGGTTTAATGGAGATAACTGGGAACTCTGAAGGATTTAGACAAGATTTTGAAAATGATAATCATGGATTAGATGGAACTTTTTGAAACTGAAAATTGTCAAAGTTGAGAAGCTTCTGACAGGGCAGGAAGAAACTAAATAAAATACTAGGCTTCAGTAGGTATTTAGATAAAATCTTTTTTAAAAATGAAGAAACTGAAGCACAGACTTAAGGGGCTCAAATAGCTAATAGGTGGTAAAGCTGGTATCTAAGTCTACCAAAAATAGCTGACATCCTCTCTGACATTAAAAATAATTTCTATGCAAAGTACATGCATAACTGATTATAAACTTCATTAGTGATAGGAAAGTATTATATGGTATGTATTGTTGTTGTTCAGCACTCTTTCTATCCAGGAAGGATGATGGATGTTGTAGAAATAAACTCCGCTTGCCAGTAAACACCCTACAGTTCAGATTTATTTAAAATTGTTTTGTATTTTACTGCCATGTAAATTGAAATATATAATTATACGTCTTTCAACTGAAAAACAAGCCAGTAATGACAGTTCATTTAGATGAAATTTAGTTATGTTAATAGTGTTAGTGAAGCTTTTTTACAGACTAACATTATTTGCTTAATATCATTCACTAATGTAAATGGAATATCAATTCAGTTTAATTCCCCAACCTTTATAGTCTGTGTTGATACTGTGTTCCACATTTTGAATGGCTGTGCTCTATCAAAAATAAATGAATTCGGAGAAAAAAAAAAAAAACTTAATGCAAGTGAATTTCCTAAAAATTTACCTTTTCTTGGTATCGTCTTTCAAAGAAAGCCATATCATCTTCTTCAGACCTCCTTATGGAAGAAATTTGACTACTTGTACCTGCTAACATGGAAAAAAATCTAAATAATATATTTATATCATTATATATTCCCCTGAGATGAGAGAGAGAAAGACAGAGAGACAGAGAGACAGAGAGACAGAGAGCTAGGTTTCTTCCTGCCAGGTGAAAATATTTTATTCTTCCAACCAGAAATTCTAATTCTTTCCTGGAAAGAATGACACTGCAAGACAAAAGTAACCTTCTGTGGCAAACATTCTCCAAATATTCAACTTCTACTAAATAATATCACATAACTATTCTACATAAGAATACACTTAGTTTTTTCCAACTACTTTTTACATCTTCTAACTAAAATCCATGTTATGCTTATGAGATAATATGTAACAGTATACATTGTTGAGGCTTTCCTTTGACTTTTTTTGGCAGTATGGAATTTGAACTCAGGACCTCACTCTTGCTATGGAGGTGCTCTGCCACTTGGGTCATTCCACCAGTCCTTCCTATAGATTTGAATAGGCAACCCTAATAATATACTACCTGTTTTAAATTTTTCCAGAACTAAAATAATTTTAGCCTTCTTTCATGGTGTTCACTATAAAAAATAATCAAGCACTAGCTTGTGTGCTGAAAGGAATTTAAAATCACTTCAGAAGGAGAAATCTAGCTTTCTTTGTAGAGCCTACAAAAGAAGTTCACCTTTGGCACAAGTGGATGTCCTCAGTGGATCCTTTCATTTCCCAAATCAGACATAAACCTGAACACCTGTTCTAGTTTCTAAAGTGAACGAATTCACCTTCAACCAACAATGTAAGGGCATGTACCTTCAGACACCTGCCACAGAGCACAACCACACCATTGACTATCCTTAACAAAAGCCTTATTGAGAAAAAAAATAAGGACCAGTTGAGCTATGCCTCTTACAGAGTCACCTTCACAGAGCTGCACTTTAATGCTTCAGTATCACTCTTACCACAGGTGGCTACAGAGCACAAGGAACGATAGGCTGTGTCTGCTGAAAACAAGCTCTTGAGGACCGTGGCCACTTCAGTATCACTCTTACCACAGGTGGCTACAGAGCACAAGGAACGATAGGCTGTGTCTGCTGAAAACAAGCTCTTGAGGACCGTGGCCACGGAATCACTGAAGGTTTCAGACCCTTCTTTGAAATTCAGTGTTGGTATGACATTCATTAGCACTGAGGACCTCATGCTTACTCCCTTCTAATAAGGAAAAGTATTTAACTGAATGCACCTGCCCCTTCACCACAGCTGCCACTACACTTAGTCAAATCTAAAATTTAATGAAGCAATTATATCAATCTTGAAAGGTGTCACAATTGTGAGGGGGGAAATCTGAGGGTTCTCAGATTTCAGTTTTTGCTTCGATCTGGGTTTTGTGATCTTGAGGTTATCATTACTTCATTGGAGTTTTTGTAAACAGCCTTAAAAATCCTTTGTGAAAAGTATCAGGGCATGTTAAATACAAATAAATCAAAGAAAATTCTCATTTTAAAATTCTGAGTACCTAATAAACCACACAATTTCATCTTCAGGACTGGAGGTGCAGCTCAGTAATGGAGCACTTGCCTAGCACAGAAGGCCCTAGGTTGAATCCCCAGCACGACGACAGAAAAAACACTTTCAATTTTTAACTTCAGTGTTTTATTCTCTTTTCCAATAAAAGAAACATGGAATACTAGTGCTAAAAATGGATTCTACTTGCTTTTAATTGATAAATAATAAAACCTTCCTAACCTATGATTATCACTGGATTCTATCTTGGGGAGAACCCAACGGATCTAGGCAACAGGTCCACTAGAGGGCACTCTTACTCAAATACTTGAGTAACGTACTAGAATAAGGTTTAAAATAGTCATCAGAATCCCCTACTTCTAAGATTTAGCTATTTTTCCCAATACAAAATTAAATTTCTTGCTTTTTAGCAGTGCAAGTATAAAAAGAAAATAAAAATGACAGATTAACTTGAAATAAAATTGTGTTAATAAAAGGAAAAAGAATCCTAGAAAACCAATCAAAACACATTTTTCTTACAGCATCCAAAAATATCTCACATTCTACCTTCATTACCATCTGTCAGTGTTTCTGGTGCTTTCAATGCTTTTAGAAATGGGTGGTCCATGGCTGTCACTGGAGAGTCTAAAAATTCACTTGAAGGTGCACCTGGGAACAAAATATATGGAGAATGAAAATTAAATCTGTTTATAAAGATATAGACAACTTATTACTTCTAATATGAAATAAATTAGACATTTTTAGCCAAGTGCAATAGTGTACATCTTATAATCCCAGCTACCTGGGAGGTGGAGGCAGGAAAATCACTTCAGCCCAGGAATTAGAGACTATCTTGGGCAACTCAGGAAGAACGTATCTCAAAGAAAGAAAACTGGAAGAAGGCTTGGTTGTGTGCACTTGTAATCCCAGCACTCAGGAAGGAGAGGGAGGAGGATCATGAGTTCAAGCTCAGCCTGGGCTACATGCAAGACCCTATTTCAAAAAACCCTAGGGCTGGGGATGTAGCTCACTGGTAGAGCACTTGCTTAGTAAACACAAAACCCTGGGTTCAATACCCAGCATAGCAAACAAAAGGGGAAAAAAGGAATTTTTATTTCAGTTTTTATCTGCCACATAAAGGCAAATGGCTAAAAAGCTATTTTTGCATTTCTTAGAAAATATGCATCGTTGTAACAATATCAGCAAAGAAGTACTAAACACCAATATACTTACAAAACTATCTAAAGCAACACAGTCACAATAAGGAACCTCTGGTCAAGGCGAAAGAATATTTCTAACCTATTCCTTACTAAGAAACCATCTAAAAACAAAATATGGAAAATAAAGAAAGCTCTTTCTTCAATGAAATGAGGAAACGTCGACCACCACAAACCACAAACTATAAATACCAACTGCTAAAGGCATTGGCTCTTGAACCAAAAGGAAGGAAGCTACAGAGAAAATGTAAAACTGTTCTATCTTCCTGGCATGCCTCCATCCCCACACCATGAGTAGAGGGAAGGAAATGGACTTTAATTCTAACTGGTTTCAAAGTTAGTCCTACCTTGTAATGTGAACAACATGGGACAACTGATCAGTCCTTCCAACTCCTGGCCCTTCCCATCACAGCTACTCTCTCATGGCGTGTGAGAATATAAGGGAAAATGGGGGGATGGAGGTGGGGGAGAAGGGACTCAGGTCCATTCAGGTCCCTGTGCTGTCCTCTGCTGGCTGGCTGCATGAGTTACCAATCTCAAATGCTCAAGGCTGGCCCAACTTGTCTCTCACTTTGTAGGGCCTGGTAGCCTCACACTTGACTCAATGCCTGTCAATTCCTATTTTGAATCCCCCAGTTCTGGGGTCCCACCTTCAGCTCTGCTCTGGGGTCACCTTGCCCCCGTTGTGAGAGATGTCAAGGCAGACCCATTATCTCACAGCTCAGCTGCCTGCCAAGTGCCCCCTGAGAGTCAGGAATTATGGCCTCCTCTGCACCACAAAGGAACCAAGCCCAGCCATTTCCTCACTCACCCCCACTTCCCTCAGGGGCCTAGAGGGGAGATTTTCTTTCTTTATACTAGGCAGATACTTGATCGATACATACTAGAAATCCCAAAAGTACAAAAGTGCCAGGTATTACCATTGTTATGATGAAACTCCTAGCCATTAAATGAACCAAGAGCCTGGCGAGCACAAGACTCTGAGTTCTGATCCTAGTACTGAAAAATCACCAAGAGGGAAAGAGCCCATAAATACTGGAAAGGAAGAGGCAAAAATGAAATTATTTGCAAAGAACTGAAAATCTATTAAAAACTCTAAGATTGAGTAATAAGACTGGTAACAAAAGCAGCAGAAAACATTTGCTTTTTTATAAATGAGGAATAATCAGAAAACAATGGAAGAACTTCATATATGGTACAAAAAAAAAGACTAAATACCAGAAAGAAACTTAATCAGAATTGTACAGGGCTTCTAGGAAAATAATTTCAGAATTCCACTTAGCTACACAGAAGAGGATGAAAGATGGAGACAAAATTTTAAAATGTGAATTATTTCTACATTCACTGGACTCTCAATGAAAAGAACACAATGGTTTTGTAACTTCACAAAATGAAAATGATGCAAAGTTCTGAAAGAATTAAAAGGTGGGACTAGGTCAGAAAATTCTGAAGTAATATTGAAGTTGTGAGTTAATTTTTTATTTACCATAAAGTTGCAGTAATGAAAATAATATGGCATTTATCCAGAAATAGACAACAAAGAACCACACCAAGGAGACTATGGTAACATCTGAGTTTCATCCAACCCTGCAGATTGAACACACAGAGCGAGTTGTTTCCCCTCTCTATGCTGAGTCTTCTCACCTATAAAATGATAATCAAACACACAGAGTTGTCACGAGGAGTCATGGGGTGATGTAAGTGCCGTGGCTGAGACAACTTGGCAACACAAAGGTTTGATCACCATCACCAATAGCTATTATTTTTGCACTCGAGTGGGTTTTCTGTAGCTGTTGCATGACCCAATAGAATCATGTACCCATTAAACTGCAAGAGAACCTGTTTATTCAGTTTAACAAGCTGGCGGTATAATTACCTAGAAGAGAAAATGCATAAAAGCATCAAGGAAACCTTGAAAGATGAACAGAAATGGGAAGCATATCAAATATCAGAATACAACATGAAGCCATAATAATTAAAAGTATGTAATATTGGCACACAATATACCAGGAAGGTAGTAGACTAGAACAGTTTTCAATAATTTGGGAGAGGAATGGTGTTAGGATAACTAGCCACCAAGCTGAACAAAAACTGATGTTAGACACACCTACCTCACATGTTTACAAAAAATAAATTCCAGAGACATGCAAAGGCTAAACATTAAAAATGCATAGTAAGATAAAATGAGGAACAGTATATTTCTAAAGTCAGAGTAGGACAAAAATTGGAGTAAGGAAGGCCTGTCTCCACACTGCAAATACTTTTTTTTTAATTTAAGATTACAAGACGAGTGACAGATTGGGGCAAAATACCTGCAAAATAAATAAAGGATTCGTATACAGAATGTATGAAAACACTTTGTGTAAGACAGTGAGGAAGGCTGAAAAGAGAAAAATGAGCAAACGGTATGAACAGGAGCTCGCAGAAAGCAAAATGGCCGATAACTAGGAGAAGGTCCTCTTCTCACTAACCAAGGGGTCAGACTGACTTCCCACACCCCAGCTGGGCAAAAAGCTGTCCATTACCTATGAGGAAATGAATAAGCCAAATCAACACTACAAGAACTAAAACAAGCACAGCATTTTTGGAAGACAATTTGGCAAACTCTATTAAAATTATACATGTGCACATGCTTCGACCAAATGTTCTACTTCCTCACTGCCCTGGAGTCAAATGTATGCAAGGACGCAAGGACAAGTTCAAGGGTTTTCCTTGGCAAGATTGTTTGCTTTTCTGTTTGCTGTATTGGGGTTTTTTGAACTCAGGGCCTCACACTTGCCAGGCAAACACTCTACTCTTGAGCCACACCTCCAACCCTTTTTGTGTTAGTGATTTTTTAGGTATGGTCTTGTGTTTTTCCCTCAGGGCCATCCTCGGACCTTGATTCTCCTACATATGCCTCCTGCATGGTTAGGACTGCAGGCATGTCCTACCACATCTGGCTTGTTTTGAGATAGGGTCTTACTGGGTTTTTTGCCCCAGCTGGCCTCAAATTTCAATCCTCTCATCTCTGCTTCCCACATAGCTGGGATTACAGGCATGAGCCACAATGCCCAACCCTTAGCAAGATTGCTTTCAATGATAAAAAAAGGATAAAAACCTAAATGCCACGAACAAGAACATGGTTAGATAAACTGACATATCTATTGTGTGGAATATGTCCTGACATAATTTGCCTTCAAAACATTTCTAAGTTAAAGAAAAAAAGGTAAACTGTAAAAATATATGTTAAATTGAAAAATAAATTGGTAACAGTAAACTGTCCTCCAGGAAAGAACCTGGGGTAAGGGAAGTGCTCGATAGTCTTTACATTTCATCTCTATTATTTGTATATTTTACAAGAAAATATACATTTATGTTTATGTAATTTTTTGAACTCAGTTTTGAACTCAGGCCTCATGCTTGCTAGGCAGGCACTCTACCACTTGAGCCACATTCCCACATACCCAGCCCTTTTTTGCTTTTTTTTTTTTTTTAAAGATAGGGTCTTACACTTTTTGCCCACAACCACCTTCAGACTATGATCCTCCCACATGTGCTTCCCATGTAGCGGGATTACAGACATGTCTTCCACACCCAGCTTTTTTATTGAGATAGAGACCTCGCTAACTTTTTGCCCAGGCCCACTTCAAACCACAATCCACCTATCTCTGCCTCCCAAGTAGCTAGGATTACAGGCGTAAGCCGCTGTACCCAGCCAGTTTATGTAACTTTCAAATAATAAAATACATCCTGTGATTAAAAAAAAAATATGTGTGTACATACATATACCAAAAATTTTTATCATGGATGTGACTACATGAATACACATTTACACATATAAGCATATTACTGTTTGATATGTTTCCTGAATGAGGTGACTAGAATAACAAAAACTGCACACAAAAAGGTAACAGGCAAACTGTAACATAGCGAACAAAGAAATATTATAAAGCTACTACAAACAGGGACATGGACTGAGGTTTGGGTGTAAGTGTCGGAGTGCGAATCTCTCCCCTTCTATTTTCTTGATTTATTAGCACATTATTGTTGTATCGGGGTGCACTGTGATATTTACCAAAGTTCTTACACTATGTCATAGTTGAATTCACCCCTCCATCATTCTATCTCCCCTCCCCCATTCCTAGAAGAGTTCAACAGGTTTCCCTTACATTTTCCAACTTTTCTAGAATGACAATGTATTTACTGTATAGTGGCAGTAGCAATGAAATCTGGGGTTTTTTTGTTGTTGTTTTTTTTTTTTCGGCAGTTCTGGGGTTTGAACTCAGGGCACTGTACTTACTAGGTAGATGTTCTACCACTTCAGCCATGCCTCCAGTCCATTTTTGCTTTACTTATTTTTCAGATAGGGTCTTTGCCTAGGTCAGCCTCAGACCAGGATCCTCCTACCTTCGGCCTCCTGCATAGCTGGGATTACAGACTCACACCACCATGTCTGGCTTATTGACAGAGGAGGAGTCTCGCTAACTTTTTGCCTAGACTGGCCTCAAATCATGATCCTCCCAATCTCTGCCTCCCAAGCAGTTGGGATTATAAGCAGGGGCTACCACACCTGGCCTGAAATCTTTTTTATAAAATAAAAATCAAGTGAGAAAATATTTTTCTAAAAAGCATGACAAATATAAAGTGCTAAACAAATATAAAGTCTCAATACTGTTATCACACATAAAAGCCATATGGCAGACTGGTGTGGTGGTGCACATCTGTAATCCCAGCACTTGGGAAATAGAGATAGGAGGATGCAGAGTTCAAGGCCAGGTCAGACTATGCTACATAGCAAAGACCCTGTCTCCAAAGATAAACAAACAATAACACATTTTTAAAAATCTGATACATTTCATATATCATCACTTACCCACGCCACTGTCATCTAAGCGCATGTAGCCATCTGCCAGTGAGCTGAAACCAGTCAGCCCTCCCATTGCTGCGTAGGGTACATCCTGCCCCACTGGCTTCCCCTGGGCCAGTCGCTCTCGCTTTGTCTCCAGCGCCGTGTCGTGGGCATATGCAGGCTGGCCGCAGGCACAGGTGAAGCAGCTGTGAAACCCTGAGCACTTGGAACCTGAGTCAAGACGTAAGAGAGTTCAATATTTTCTTTTCTATAAACATTTTCATTAGTACATAATAGTTGTGCAGGGGTTTTCAGTGTGACATTTCCATATATGCGTTCAGTGTAACCCAGTTTGGTTCATCTCCTCCATTATTCTCCCTCTTCCCCCTTTTCTACCCCTTCTTAAAGTGACTTCGACAGGTTTCAGTGTTCCACATCCATACATATGTGGAAGATGTTCACTTCCTTTACCTCTTCGTTTCCCCTCCCCCTCCCAGTCCTGCCCCCCAGGCATTAAGCTGTCTACGCGAACACATTTAGCTTGGCAAAAAGCCAGCCAAATGGAGGTCCTCTAACCTGGCCCTCACACCTCCAGGGCTGTCCTCCCTCCTCGCCACTGCTCGTTCTTCTGAAAGATGATGAAGTAGCAAGAGGTATGTCAAAGGGGGGATAAAATTTAAAAACCAAGAGGCACTAAAATAAACTGGATTAAACACTGCACTCCTAGGAAATGCAAAACTGAGTTAAAAGAAGGAATGATTCGGACGGCCCAGTGGCCAGGACCAGGTAAAGGGAGAATGTGGAAACTGTGCAGATCCTCTCCGCAGAAAAGCCAGAGATCCAGAAGCACTGGTGCTTGCGCAATAAGAACAAATCGTAAAAGCATTATACCAAATGGAGGAGGCCTGCCACAAAAGAGGACATGCTCACGACTCCATTTACAATGAAATGCCCAGAGTCAGCACACACACAGAAGAAAGTAAATTAGCCGCTGCCTGGGGCTAGAGGGAGGGAGAAATAAGGAATGGTTCCTGATGAATATGGACACACGTTAAGGTGACAGAAACATTCTAAAATGTATTGTGTTGGTGACTGCACAATATTCACTCTCATGAATGTAGTTAAGACTACTAAATTATATTTTAAAAAATCAATTGTAAAGATCTATTGCATACAAAAAATTGTATGATCTGTGAATTCTATCTTTATATGTGTGTATGGTACTGAAGGTTGAACTCAGGGCCTCACACTTGCCAGGCAAGCATTCTACCACTTTTTAATTTTTTTTTTTTTTTTTGGAAGCACTGCGGTTTGACCTCCGGACCTATGCTTGCTAGGCAGACACTCTTTTTTTTTTTTTTTAATATATTTAGTGATTGTTGCACTTTGATTTTCAAAGCATTAACAATACATTTTCTTCTCTTTTTTTGGGCTGGGAATTGAACCCAGGGCCTCAGCAAGCTTTGCCAGCACTGTACCACTAAGCTGCTTCCCCAGCCTCAACAGTACATTCTTTTTTTTCACTTTTTTTTAAGTGAAGTGTTTTTTTGTTTATTTATTCATTTATTCACATTGTTTGGGCCATTTCTCCCCCTGCCCCTGCCCCACTCGCTTCCAGGCAGAACCTGTTCTACCCTTATCTCTAATTTTGTTGAAGAGTAGACATAAGCAATAATAAGAAAGACAAAGCATTTTTGCTAGTTGAGATAAGGATAGCTATACAGAGAGATTCCTAGCATTGCTTCCATGTACAAATGTGTTACAACCTGGGTTGATTCATCTCTAACTGATCTTTACACTGGTTTCTGATCCCCTTCTCGTGTTGACCTCTGTCACTTTAAGGTTTCTGTATTAGCTCCTCTGCAGTGGGGACATCAAACACTTTCATGTTTTGGTTTTCCTACCTATCCCCATACCTCCTGTATGTGCTCTCCCCTTAGTATGTGACCCAAGTCCTACAACATCGCTGCCTTTGCCCTAAAGTCTGCATATGAAGGAGAACATACGATTTTTGGTCTTCTGAGCCTGGCTAACCTCACTCAGAATGATGTTCTTCAATTCCATCCATTTACTTGCAAATGATAAGATTTCATTCTTCTTCATGGCTGAGTAAAATTCCATTGTGTATAAACACCACATTTTCTTAAACCATTCGTCAGTTGTGGGGCATCTTGGCTGTTTCCATAACTTGGCTATTGTGAATAGCTAGGCAGGCACTCTTACTTCAGCCACTCTGCAAGCCATTTTTTGTGATGGGTTTTTTGAGATAGGATCTCAAGAACTATTTGCTTAACTTCAAACCTCAATCCTCCTGATCTCTGCCTCCTGAGTAGCTAGGATTATAGACATGAGCCACTGGCACCCGGCTGTTAACTGTATCTTAACAAAGTTGTAATGTAGAAAGCAAACCATATTGAAATGGAGGCCAGAGTATGTAATTAACAAAATCTTTACCCCCACTCACACCTCGGACAATGTGAGGAAACCAAGTATATAAGCTTTTTACAACTTTTTCCATACTTAGCCAATGAAAGCCATCTATTCTTGCTACTGCCGTTAAAAATGTTTCCCAGCATGAGTATCCCTTAGCCAGTCCTTGGGACCAGAAGTGTTTCAGATTTCAGAGCTTGGAGCTTTGGGAGTGTTTGCGGAGATTTTACTCACCGGGCATCCCTAACCTGAGAATGTGAAATTTTTACAGTGTCATATTGGCTTACATTTTTCACTTATAAAATCTTTGTTTTTAATCTGTAAAGAATTTAGTTGAGAACTGGGGATGTAGCTAAGTGGTAGTATGCCCTGGGATCCATCCACAGAACCGTCTCTGCCCAGTCGCCAAAAAAAGAATTGAGTTGATTAAACTACCACTACTTAGAAGTTTATATTGGATAGTGTCTAGTAATTCTCTAAAATCTAGCCACACATGGTGGCTTACCCCTGTAATCCTAGCTACTGAAGAGGCAGAGGTCAGGAGGATTGCAGTTCAAGGCCGGCCTAGGCAAAAATTTAGCAAGACCTCACCTCAATCAATAAGCCAGGTATGGTGGCATGTGCCTGGCTACTTGGGAAGCATAAAGAGGAGGATCTCAGTCCAGGCTGGCTGGGCAGAAGCATAAGACCCTATTTGAATAATAACTAAAGCAAAAAGGGCTGGGGGTGTCACTCAAGCAATAGCCTAGCAAGTCAGAGTTCAAACCACATACCACCAAAAAAAAATCTATTACTATTACTTAAATTATATGACATTGGGATATGTGATTATTAACCATACTAAGAAGTATCTATTATTAAATTTTGGGTTGTTTACCATTAACTCTATAGCTGAACAAACTTGATACCAAACATACTTAGATTTCAGTAAAGACAACAGTGTGCCCTATGTCCCTATAGGACTCTGTGACTTACACACAGTGCACGCGAAGCCAGGTGCAGCGCTGTGCTGGTCAGCAAAGTGTTTGCACCTGCAACGAATGGGCTGGGCACCACTCAGAGGGACATAGTGATAAGCCCTGCACGGACAGCCAGTCACTCGGCAAGGCAGATCAATGGGGCGCTGCTGTGGAATCATTTCAAAGTCAGTTTTATGTTGTTTATACCTAAAAAGGTAAAAGGAAATAAATACAAACACAATCCAGGTATTGCCAAAAATCACAATATCTATTGCATTAAATGCAAATGTGATTCATTTTTTGGTTTTGTCCTTTTGTTATTCCTAATAATAAAGTGAAAACTTTCCTATGTGGAATATTTCTATCAGCTTTGGCTAAAGGAAGTCTTCACATTTTTAGATTTAGATTTTTTTTTTTTTAGCTATTTAAGAAGTTTCACAGCAATATCAAGAAATATAATTCCTTTAAAATACTTGCCACTGCAGCATTGTTTTTGTGGAGGGGAAGGGATTGGGGTTTGAATCAGGGCCTACACCTTGAGCCACTCTACCAGTCCTTTTTTGTAATGGATTTTTTTGAGATATGGGCTCATGAACAATTTGCCAAGCCTGGCTTCAAACCGTGATCCTCCTGATCTCTGCCTCCTGAGTAGCTAGGATTACAGGTGTGAGCCATAGGCTCCCAGCTATTACGACTCTTTAATATGGATTCATATCCTCAGAGTATGAAAAAAGTTTTATAAAAATATTTATCAAAGTGCATAACTTACATTTATTCTGATGCTTTGCTCTTTACAGTTGAAGTTCAATAAACATGTACTAATGTAATTTATTTGAATAACTTTTAGCTTTCAACATCAAAATAAATTAATGACTGTTAAAACATTGCAAGAGTTGTATTGTTGTTATTGTTTGCTTTGTTTTTGTGGTAGTGGGGTGAACCCAGGGCTTTGAGCATGCTGGGCAAGTGCTCTATTACTGAGTTATACTCACAGACTAATTTGTAAGTAATAGGTCAGTTGCTTCCTTCTCTTAAGGTATTACTTAGTAAAATAATACCACATTTATTCTTGATGTTGATCTAAGGAATGTAAGTTAAACTATCCATGGCATACCATTTTTCACTTAGCAAAAAGAACCAAAGGTTTTTTTAAAAAAAATAAATAACTATATGTAATTTAGCTGGGCACCAGTGGCTCACACCAATAATCCTAACTATTCGGGAGGCTGAGATCAGAGGATCATGGTTCAAGACCAGCCCAGGCAAATAGTTCATGAGACTCCATCTCTACCATTGAAAAGCTGGTCATGGTGGCTCACACCTGTCATCCCAAGCTTCTCCAGGGGCTGAGATAGAGAGGACAGCAGTTCTAAGCCAGGCCAGGCAAAAAAAGTATTCAAGATCCCATCTCAACATAAAAAAGCTAGGTGTGGTGATGCATGCCTGTCATCCCAGTGATGGTGGGAAGTTTAAAATAGGTTTGCAGTCCAGGCTGGCCTGGGCAAAAAGCAAGACTCTACCTCCAAAATAACCAGAGCAAAAAGGGCTGGGGATATGGCTCAATTGGTAGAGCACCTGCCTTTCAAGCTCAAAGTCCTGAGTTCAAACCCCAGTACCACCAAAAAAAAAAAAAAAAAACCCTTATAATTATGTAATTTACAATTACATATAGTGACTGTCAAGAATATACTGAAAGAACCAATTCAAAGGTCCATCCTTTAAGCCCAAAAGTTCATTTTGGAAAATATATCCTAAGAAAATAATTTCTCATATGGAAAAACCTTTGTGCATAAAGACAGTATTAGCAGTAATACTTATAATAGCAAAAAATTATATATAGGCATAGATATATTTATAAACATATGAAAAGGGATCAATAATTATAATAGCAAAAATTATATATAGATATAGATGTTTATTAACATTTGGAAATGGATAAATTATTAGAGGGTAGTTTCAAAGTCCTTTGTTGTAAAATTCTCTCTTTAAATAAAAACTTTCACAGACCCATAATACCACATATAAAGCAGGTAAAAGCAGATCTCCCTTCCCCCACCCTGCCCTGTTACTTGGTGCAGAACTCAGTCTCACCCACACCTCCAAGGAACACAACAAACACCACTCGACTAGCTAGAATATCGAGCAGCTATCTAAACCTTTGTCTGAGATTACTACACACCCATGTAGAAACACATTTCTGTAAGTGTGTCATGAAAGAATAGTTCAATATTTATACATACACAAAATTAACAACTAAATGAACTGTGCAAAGAAAAGGTTGTACAGATAAAGCAAAAAGTACTCACAGTGGCTGGCTCTGGTAAATTCCCCATTTTCCTTAATAACCATGTATTACTTTTATAACAGGAAAACAAGTTTGGATAGAGATCTTACTGAGTGACCAGTGCAACAGAAAAATTTCTCCATCAAAGTTGGGTTGGGTTATTGAGGGGCAATTCTATGCTGTTCAAATTATAGATAGATAAGAAATTGCTATTAAATTTTTATTAAGAATAAACTCTAAAACCATCACAAATTCACCAAACCTGTGTTTAATTCTGACAGATATCAACACATCCCTTATCCTCCATTCCTCCAGTGTTTTTAGTTAAGGTTGCTAGATAAGTTTACAGTTGATCTATGTACATTACTCATCCTGGCAACTGCCTAACAACCTCCCGCAAATACAGCTCTGTAAATAGCAACCATACAAAGAGTCTCTCATGAAACAGACCCAGAGACTGCTTTCGAAACAGGGCAGTTCCCCTTAGAACAAAAAGTTAAAAAGTTGTTACCTGAAAACATGTAATAGGTTCAGAGATTTTTCTGCAGAGCAATATGGTCTTTACAACTGTGAGACAGAGGTAAACTCTGAAGCAGAGTTTTGTTTTGAAACAACAAAATAGGAACCTCAGACACAGACCAAATAAGTAATGACTGACGTTTCATGTCTTCTTCCCCTGTGTGATTTTCTTGGAACACTGCCATTTGTAATAAAAAACAGCATGCTTATATTTTTGTTCAAAGAAAGGTCTCAGGCCAAGCATGGTGGTACATGCATATAATCCAAATACTTAGGAGGCAGAAGGATCACAAGTTCCTAGTTCACCTGGGCTACATAGTGAGACTCTGTCTCAAAAGACCAAAACAAAAGCAAAAAGAAAAAAGATGATGAGGAAAGGTATCAACACAGTAGTTCATTAAGATGTGAAAGGTTGTGAGTCCATTTGAGAAGAAATGCATCTATTTGTAGATGGATCACGTGACCAGTGTGGATCAATTCAAGCAACTGTGTAAAACAGTTCTGCAGTCTGACTGCCATCGTCTACCTTTTCCAATAGACTCTGCTCCCCAGCAAACTGAAAGATCCCTGGCAAAGCCCCAGGAGCATCAATATCTTTTTACCAATGGCAAGAGAGAAGTTGCTTAAGGTGACAGACTCAAGGATGAATTCTAACAGGGTATCACAAATATTCATTAATTATAGCTTTAAAAACCTTTAGACATTTTTACTGTATTTTATAAAAGCCTACTTTTAAATGTTTCTTAATCATCAGTGTTATTTATAAAAGGAGCATATGTTTTGCCATAGTTTTTATTTTCTCATCATCAGAAAACAGCAATAAAATATCTTACCTATGTGTACAAAAGCACAGTGTCTCTGGGCCAACAAGTTTACAATCCATTCCTGTTGGTGACCGCCAGCTCACAAATAATCTGTTCTGTAAGCGCTTAGGTAAAACTTTTCTTTTGTATTCTTCATATTCTTCAGGAGTAAATAACTTCCCTCCATCATCCTCACCAACAATTCTACAAGAAATAATTGTCTTAAGCTTCAAGTATCTTCCAAGTTAAAATTCAGCCACAGGGCCCTGAGTTCAAATTCCAGTGCCGCCAAAAAATTCTAAACTCCATCGTTGTCTATTGAAAAGAAAGGCTGCTTTGACTTTAAATTTTTACTTTAAATACATGTGAATTACCTTATATACAATGACAATAAAACTTGTGCTTCTGACAGAATTCAGGATATGCTATCCCAAAATTTGTCAGGCACCTTAGCAGTCAAGAAAACAGGAAAAGCAGGAAAGCTACTCTCACCTTCCCCACATTCTTCTTCCCTGAAAACAGGTCATAGGACCTTAACTCCAGAGGTGTCCTCCCTCTATCTGGGAGGAAGGAACACACTTATCTTTAAAGCACAACACAGAGAAGAATCTGAACAAACAGGCCTTGCTAAGTTCCTCCAGTTTGTTGCCACTAGACAATATTCTTCTGTGCTTCAATCACCCATCTCTGAATCTGAAGACTGTCCACTCTTCATCAAACGTAAGCATGAAATGCACAGGATGTCCTATTTCTTTCAGTCTTTGTCTTCCAAGGCTCCTATGTCACATAAAACTTAGGTAAATTTGTAAGCTTTCTCTTAGTAAGGTGCCTCAGTCATGAACCTTTTGATAACTGAGAAAAGAAATCCTTCTCCCCTACTCTTCCTATATAAAAGATTATAAATTAAAAGTCGATTTCAAAATATCTGAGTTTACTGATCAGGGTTTATCAGTGGAGGATTAGCAATAATCAGCCCAATTTCTCCTTTGATTCTGAAGCAAACATATTCCTTCTTCTTACTAAAAGCTACAGCCTAAGACAGATGTGGTGGTGCACACCTATATTCCCAGCACTGAGGAGGCTGAGGCAGGAGGATTATGAGTTCAAGGCCAACCTGGATTCCAGAGCAAGTTCCAGGCTAGTCTGGGCTGAAAAGAAAATTTTTAAATAAAAATAAAAAGGTGCTAAACCTTCTGCTTTCATTCTTTAAAAATAGTATCCCCCCCAAAAAAAAAAAAGGAAAAAAAAATCAATACAGAGCCAACATGACTGACCCAAACCCTGGCCAGGATCTTAAACTTGTATGACTAAAAACACACTGGGATTTGCACAAATTCAAACCCACATCTGTGTGTTTGGTAATCAGAAGTTTCATTGTTTAATTTCAGATTCCAACATTTTATGGGAAAAATTAAGCCCCCACTATTTCTATGAAAAAATAAATAAAGAGTGCCTCCCTGGAGCAAAAAGAAAGCACAATTAAAAGTTGTTCAAAATGGAAGAAATGTCTCCTTTAATAGTGATAAAAGGGTGATTTGCAGAATGCTACATAATGTTTTGTGCAATACACACTTTTCTCCATACTTCAAAACAGTTAGTTGAGGTAGAAAATAAAAAAACAATTCAGAAGCTGCAAAACCAACACAGTCTTCCTTACTTAAACAGTCTAGATGTACAATCGTTTTTGTAAGGCATTTTATTCTAAGAAAAGTTTGAACCATTTCACTTTATTACAGCTATCACAAAGAATACCACCAGATACTAGGAAGATCTTCAGATGAATGCGGATCTTTTAAATAAAAGATTATTGATATTCAAGATCTAAACCAGAGCTGCTCTAACTTTACTGTATTTCCAGAATCTCAAGGGGATCTATGTTGAGAATGCTTTTCTAAGAAGCTCTCAAGGGATGTGTCACCATCCATGCTTCCTACACTTTGAGTAAAAGACTACACTTCCTCTCCAACAGCCTCCCACCAAAGCTTGTAGGCAAGACTAAATTAAGGAAAACTGAAGAAGGAAAGTGTTTCTGATGGAAATTCATCTTTAGGCCTTCCCATCCACCCCTTCATATCCAGACACCCAAGTCCACTTTTCCCACCTTTCCCAAATTCTGACATAAGTAAAGAATCTGACAATGTCTTTGTAAAAGGAAGTGTTTGTGATATTTATGCTTACAAAAATAATTCCCACAGGACTGTGCCTAGTATTTTCTGGGCAAGAGTCAGCTGGAGGCCCATAATCCAGCTACCTAAGTATCTAAATTCTCAGTCAACACTAGGGCCCTGTGACTTCCACCCAGGGAAAAGCTAGAGAATCCAAGGCCAAAGGAGCCGGCTCTGCTCTGGGTAAGAGCTAGATGGTGGTTGCCAAGGCCCAGGACTCCCAGGTTTACCTACACCCACCTAACGCTCCTCAATCTCACTTTTCCTGCTCAGAATTTCCAGGGAGTTCTAAGCATTGCCCAAAAACTACACTAGCTTGCAGTCAGCCAGGAAACTCATCTGCCTGGACACCCAGGGAGTGATGTGGGGCCACCACCTTTTAGCAGAGCAGCCCCTCTGCTCAGGTGTCCCAGGCCACACCAGGATGGTCTCACCTCTGATTTGTACACACATCCATCCTCCCGGCCTCAACTGCTGGTCTTCCTGCCAGTCTTCTGTGTCTCCCATAGCCCAGACTCCCAATGTCGAACCTTTCTTAGGTGACGGAAAACAAACAAAATACTATCACAGGTGCATGGGCCTTTGCCAGGGACCAGGAACAGTGTCCTCAAGCCAAAGGAGTGGCTGCATTTCCTGTTTCAGGAGAAATCTCTTCAAAAGTGTACAGAAGTGGACAGGTGTATTTTTGGTGTTCTTTCTCCTAAATCCAGCACCTTCAGAAGTTCACGACTTACGGGGTCACTGAATTAACATGCAAACTTGATGGCAGCTAAACTTTTACATGCCCAGAATACTCAAAAGCGTAATTCTTCAACGGCCAATTATAAAGAGAAGGGGGGAGGGGCTGAGGGGAAAGCAATTGAACTCAGGCATAAATCTAGAGTTAATAATCCCTCTTGGAAGGGGAGGCCTCTTAAGTGGTCTCAGAAGAGACTCATTACTGAATAGAGCTTCGCGTCGGCATATTTAATTACAGAAAGATGAAACTTGGAATTAATCTAGGCCTCCCTGCACAGTCTGGGAACGGATTCCCGGAGCCCCAGCGCTCGCCCACCCACCGGGTCTCCCCGCCAGAGACACCACTGCTTGCTTCCCGGGCTAGGAGGGCCGGGCCAGCCGCGAGAGTCCTCGTCCCCGCCACTGCCTCACCTCCGGTACTCCAGGTACTGGTCCACCGCCGCCGCGCCGCCCGGAGGCAACGTCAGCCGCTCCATGGCCTGCGGGGAAACCCACCCGCCCGCGCCGCGCTTCGAGCTCCAAGCCAGTCTGCGATCGAGCTCACGGCCGAGGAGCCACGACGGCCGGGCCCCGCCCCGCCCCCGAGCCGCGCCCCCTCCAGCCCGCCTCCCGATTGGTTCGGAGGAAAATCTTGTGGATGGACACGCCCCCGTGAGGGCGGGGTGGGCCCTCAAGCTACCTGCGGCCACACCCGGCTGCAGATTCCCTAGCAACGCCAGCGCTGGCTCACGCCACGTCGGTGCAAATTTGCAGCTGTGCACAATTCTTGCCCCTGTCGCCTCTGCCATCCCGGAGAGACGCCTTGTAAAGTAACTCGGAGTGCAATGTGTTGCATGCGATAGAAGCATAGAAAATGGCTTCTTTGTACACGTCTTTTCACTTAATTCATCTCTTGAAATGTAAGTGGTTTCCAAGTTCTGGGTATTTTGAGGCCGGCTTCACCACAATCGCGTGTTTTCAGTGTTGGTGTGTAAAAAAAACGGATATGGGGAACTGAGACTGTAGCTCAATGGAAGAATATGGGTTCAGCGGGCAGAAGGCCCTGGCTTCGAATCTCAGCACCGGAAAAAATAAGGTTAATAGAAAACCACTAGTCTTGGGTGCCTGTGTCCAGTTTGAGTGACAAGAAAACTTGTTCTCGAAAGATAGTAAATAACAGGTTTAAGGGGAAGCAAGTAAAAAACCACGTGGACAACTTTTTTCCATGCTGGGGATGGAACCCAAGGCCTTTCTGATGCTAGGCAAGCACCTTATCACTGAGCTACTCCCCCAGCACCAGGTTACACCTTTTTTAACGTTTGAAAAGACTCTTCACAAATTTTATATAAAGGTTGAATTACCATCCTATTGGCAATTTGGACACAATTTGGTTTAGCAAACTAGAAAGAGTTAGGAAATTTAATACTATTCAGAAGAGAGGACTCCTTGAACTCTCTGAAGCTCCCTGGGGATGAGTTTTAGTACCTTCATAAATCAGTGTCTTGCTTTTTGCTTTATTGTGCTTCACAGATAACTGCACTGTTTTCTCTTACAAACTGAAGTTTCGTAGCAATCCCACATTGAGCAAGTCTACTGCTGCCATATTTGCAATAGTATATATTCACTTTGGGTCTCTGTATCACATTTTGGAAATTCTCACCATATTTCAATTTTTTCATTATTATCATATCTTCATGGAAATCTATGAGCAGTGATTTTTCATGTTACTATTGTTATTGTTTAGTGGACACCATGAACTGCCCATTTAAGATGATAATCAATAAATGTTTGAATATGCTCTGACTGCTCCCCCAACCTGCCAGTCCTCCATTTCTCTCCATCTCCTCGGGCCTCTCTATTCCCTGAGACACAACAATACTGAAATTAGGCAAATTAATAGCTCTACAATGGACTGTAAGTGTTCAAGTGAAAAAACCCCACACCTCTCACTTTGAATCAAAAGCTGAACATGATTAAGTTTAGTGAAGAACCATGTCATCTGTCATCTGAGAAGCCATCTCAGCTGTTGAGCTGAGATAGACCAAAAGCTAGGTCTCTCAAGCCAAAAAGCCAAGTTATGAACACAAAGAAATTGCTCTCAAAGGAAATATTCATGTGTCTACTGCTTCTTCAGTAGACATATGAATGATATGGAGAAAGTTTTAGTGGGGAGGATAGGAAATTAAACAAGCCGCAACATTCCATTAAACTAAAGCCTGGTCCAAAGCAAGACTAATGCTCTTCAATTCTGTGAAAACTGAGAGAGGTGGGGAAGCTGCAGAAGAAAAGTTTGAAACCATCAGAGGTTGGTTTGTGAGGTTTAAGGAAAGAAGCCATCTCTATAACATAAACGTCCGAGAAGCTGCATCAGGTTATCCAGAGGATTTAGTTAAGATAATTGATGAAGGTGGCTACTACACTCAAGAACAGATTTTCAATGCAGACAAAACAGCCTTCTATTGGAAGAAGATGTCTTAGTTAGAGAGAAGTCAATGCCTGGCTTCAAGCCTTCAAAGAACAGAGTGGATTTCTTGTTAGGAGCTAACACTGCTGGTAAGTTTATGATGAAGCCAGTACTCAGTTATGATTCCCTTAAGAACTATACTAGGTCAGCAAAGCCTGCATGCCAGCACATCTATTTACAACACGATTTACTGAAAATCTTTAACCTACTGTTGAAAACCACTGCTCAGAAAAAGATTCCTTTCACCGTGTTACTATCATTGCACCTGGACACCCACAAGCTGATGGAGATGGGCGATGAGACTAATGTTTCCATGCCTGCTATCACAATGTCCTTCCTGCAGCCCATGGATCAAGAGGTCATTTCCATTTTCACGTCACACTATTTAAGAAATATATTCTGTAAGGCTATTGCTGCTATAGATAGTGATTTCTCCGGTGAATCTGGGCAAAGTAAATTGAAAACTTTCTGGGAAAGATCCACCATTCTAGGTCCCATTGTTATGTTTGCCTAAAACTGCCTCCATTTTAAATTTGGCTTAAATGTTTCTCTGTGCATAGTGACGTGTAACCTAACTTGACATGTAAACAGACTGTTTCTTATAACCAGTAGCTGAGTCTCAGCCAATCATAAGCAGCCAATTAAACCATATTCAAATTAGACAGACATGATCTGTGACCAGTTGGTCTGTATCTGTGCCTCCCTTTCATTTGCTGCACCTCACTTCCTTTCTCCAACTATAAATACAAACTTGTCCCTGTGGTACAGCGGGACATTCTGAACCATTTTCAGCCCAGACTGTTACACGATTTTAGAACCACAAATGAAACCAATTAAGATCGGAAAAACCTAGATTTGTTGTAATTTTGTCTCTTAACACCATGAAGAGTATACAAGATGCCGGGTGATGGTGGATCTTGCCTATAATCCTAGCTACTCAGAAGGCAGAGATCAGGAGGATCACGGTTCGAAGCCAGTCCTGAGAGATCCTATCTCAAAAAACCCTTCACAAAAATAGGTGTGGTGGAGTGACTCAAGGTGAGTCCCTGAGTTCAAGCCCCAGTACAACATTAACAGGAGTTTGGAAGAAGTTAGTCCTAACCCGCATGGATGACTTTGAGGGGCTCAAAATTTCAGTGGGGAAAATAGCTGTAGATGTGATGGAAATTGCAAAAATTAGAAGGGGAGCCTGAAAAATGTGACTGAATTTCTGCAATCACATGATAAAAAGTTAATGGATGAGGAGCTGCTTCCTTTGAATGAGCGGGTTGGGACTATAGCTCAGTGCTAGGTAGAGCACTCACCTAGCATGGAAAAGGCTCTGGGTTTAATCCCCAACACTGAAACAAACAAACAAAACTTCCTTAATTGTCGATGAGCAAAGACAGTGGTTTCTTGAGGTGGAATCTACTCCTGACGAACATGCTATGAGCACTGTCAAAATGACAACACAGGATTCAGAACACTACATAAACTTAGTTGCAGAAGCAGTGCAAGGACAAAGTACAGTCGCTTATACTTGTAATCCTAGATTCTCGGGAGGCAGAAATTAGGAGGATTCTGGATGCAGGACAGCCCAGGCAAAAAGTTAGCACGACACCATCTCAACCAATGGCTGAACATGGTGGTCTGTCATCTCACTGTGAAGGAAGCATAAATAGAAGGATTGCTGTCCAGGCCAGTCTAGGCAAAGAAAGCATTCAAGTGGTAGAGTGTCTGCCTAGTAATTGTAAGATCCATAGTTTAAACCCAGGTACCACCAAAAAAAAAAAAAAAGCAGTGGAAGGATTTGTTTCAAGAAGATTGACTAATTATGAAAGAAGTTCTGGGGAATTCCAAGATGGCGGCTAGAGGTAGGAAGCAGAAAGCGAGCCTCCTATAGTGAAATCTTGGAGAGACGCTGGAGACACACATTGCAGGCATAATCACCGAGAAAAGGCATAACTTTGACTCCTCCACATCTCCAGCCGGCGCAGAGAATCTCCACTTCACGTTAAACGGAGAACCGAGGAGGCCCCCGGGCCGCCAGTGGCCGGCGCCCATACGGCTTGGGAAGACGCGGACCAGGTGAGCTTCGCGGTACCGCGGTTCCCCCACAGACAAGCCTGGGCCAGAGCAGCATAGCCCCCTGGACAGACTGACCTCCACCCGGGAAAAAAAGAGAAACTGAGTACTAAGCAATAAGAACAGTTAAGACACGCTGGAAAGAGGGTGGGGCGCCCTGAGCGCTGAAGATTGGGGGAAGGGAATCCTTCCCGGGACTGTAAATAAACGAGCCGGGCGGGCCGGAGAGGCTCTGGCGGGAGCGGGGCGCGCCAGCAACCAGGAGCGGGACGCTTGTGAGAGGAGGGAAGACCCACTTCCCACGTGAACTGTAAATAAACACGCAGGCCTGACAACGCGGGGCAGTGTCGCCTTTCCCAGTGCTTGGAAAGGGAAAGCCTGTAGCAGAGGCCCCTCCCCCGCACAGGAGAACTCTGAGCAAACAAAGCCTGTGGGACCAGGTGAGTGCTAGCTCACCCCAGAGATCTGCATAAATAACGCCGCCAGCTACAGGCTGAGAGCAGCAGGCAGGCAAGCCACAGTTGCAGATACCACTCTCAGAACTGCCTCCAGACGCTTTTTTTTCTTTTTCTCCCTACCTTTGATGAGAGAACAACCGAATTACACCTGCAAGCCGAAAAACTTACTGAAACTGTATTGCATTTGAACTGGGGACACTTGGTGGGGCTTTTTTTTTTTTTCTTCTGTGTGTGTGTGAGTGTAGTTTTGTTCTACTTTATGCATCCCCTTTGATGAGACAACTACAGAACAACATCTGAGGCACCAACTCCAGGACTGGAGATTGAGACGGACATCCAAATTATTAAGACTGAAATTGCATTGCATATAAACTTGGAAGTTTTTTGGTTTTTTTTTTTTTTAATTTTCTATTTTCCATTTTATTTTAATTCATTTTTATAAATAGATATTACTTTCATATACTTATTTTTTATTTTTTTATCTTTGATTTTCAATCCTCTCTCTGTCTCTCT